AGCCAGTGAGAGATCTTTCCTTCCTCTTCTTGGAGGGAGGTAAAATTGTTTTTGCAGTGAAGCCTGTGTCAGCCAGGGGAAGCAGTGGGCACCTGGCTGCTGTGTGCACAGCGTAAGAACCAACGTGTATTTTGAGTCTTTGGGCTTCTTGCAAAATGTGAAAACCTTCTGTTTGGGTCCAGCTCCCAACCTGCTCCTTGTTTCACAGGCTGCCTTCAGAGTACCATGGGCAGCAAAGTGTGTGAGGTGGAGGAGTGAAGAAAGCTCCTGAGAAGAAGGGGGAAGGATGAAGGAGTTGCCCTGTATCTTCCCCAGTGAGAGAGACCAGAGGATGGGGATTCATCACTAACATAATTTTTCTCCTCCCATGTCCACTCTCAGATGGAAGGTGACCCCAGGTGGCCCCTGTTCCTCCAGCTGTGGGCTTGGGTTGGCTGTTCAGCTGGTCACCTGCGTGCAGGTTCACCAAGGCAAGGAGGTTTTGCTAGAGGAGCATCTGTGTCCTGTGGCAGAGAAGCCCCTTCCCAGTGTGCCCTGTGTCATCCGGGTGTGCTCTTACGAGTGGAGCTTCAGTGAGTGGACAGAGGTACCTGCTCCTGTGCAGCACTTGGTGTCTAGTGCAGTGGTTTTCTAATCATTCAGTTCCCTAAAGCATTCAGGGGAGAAACACACCTTCTCCCTTATTTATTTACTTCCCACAGAAATGCTGAACTATTTCTAGGGGTGTTTTCCCTCCTTTCCACTGCCCTGTGGTTGGCAGCCATGGGTCTGCTTCACACCTTTCTCAGCCAAGGTTTTGGCTGCAGTTTAAAAATGGTCCTTGACATGTTTTCTTGTAAAATGCAGATCTTTTTGGATTTTTTAAGAAGTGTTTCTGCAATTCAAAGATAAAGTTTGGAAGATTCCCTGGGAGGTGGGTCATCTTCTAGCTGATGACACTAGGGCACTGAAAGGGCAAGTGATAGAACAGCATCGGTGAACAAACAGTCCCCCCCTAGATCATGTCTGAGCCAGTAAATGTATTTATGTCTAAATATCAGCTGAAACAAGTATGTATGAAGGCCTGTGGGCTTCTTCCCCTGCAGTGTTCAGCTTCCTGTGGGAATGGCATCCAGACTCGACAGGATTTCTGCCTCAACTCTCTGACCCGTGGGCCCGTGAGCCCCGTCTTCTGCAGGCACTTCCCCAAGGCCATCGTGGTCCGTGGCTGCTCTGCAGGGCCTTGTCCTGAGCAGGTGGCTGGGGCTGGCTCCCCTGGAGCAGAACTGCAGACAGTGACCCCAGCCACACATCTGACCACAGCTGCACCTGCCCAAGAGGCAAGATACAAGGAGCTGGGTCTTCCTGCATCTGCTGTGCTGCAGGAGCAGACAAAGACCAGTGCAGGTGAGGAGGGCACTGCTGAAAGGCAGAGATAGGTGCTCACTGGGTGCAGCTGGGCTGTGGTGACTCTGCTGCCATACAGGAGCATGGGAGGGGAATACTTCTGGTTAGGAGAGTTCCTTCTGGTTTCTTCCAGTGTGCCATGATCTGCCCATGTTATTTGAGCTGGGAACAATGACTCCCTTCCCTGCCTTGGAACTCCTTGGGGCAGCAGCTGACTCTTCTGTGCTTTCACTTCTGTTCGTTGTGCCACAAAGGGAAGAGGGACTGTTTTTCAGCAGCTGTAGTTCCTTCTGGATGTGTTTCTCACTTCCAGGTGTCTGTGGAAGGCTCTTTCTTAATGCCAGTGGGATGATCAACATGACAGGTGTGGAGAGTCGTGACTGCACGGTGGCCATTGGGCGTCCCCTCCGGGAGGAGATCACCCTCCGAGTCCTGGAGAGCTCCCTCAACTGCACTGCAGGTACTGCCCAGGGCTGCTGGGGACTTCTCTGGCCCTTTGGGAAATCTGCACCTCTCTTCCCGTGTGCTTTTTGGTGCCCTGAAAGGTTCTTGCTGCCCTGCAGCCTGTGGAATCTCTGGAAACACTGAGTTTTTCTGTCCTATCAAGTCGTTGCCAGGTGGGACTAAATGGAGATGGTGCCTTTCCTCCCCCAGGCTAATGGTGTCTTACCTGTTTTGTTGATTGATATGAGATTAAAGGAGTTTATGGGGTTAAAGAAGCTACTTGTTTTGGCCTGTCATGAACTCTGTAATACCATGAACTCTGTAATATACACTTTAGCTGTAATCAGCACAGTTAGATTAGTTAACTGGACTGTTTTAGTGACAGACTTTGATAAGACTGGGACAAGATGCAGAAATGACTTGATTCCAGACCTGTATAAATTGTGGCCTTTTACTCCAAGTCTTCCTAGTCCCTGTGCTCATCCATTCCAGGTGAGGTTGTGCTGTTTTCTGGGCGAATGATGTGGAGGACAGGCTGCAGGAAGCTCCCTTTGTCCCTGATCAATTCCAGAACAAATACACTGATTGTGAAACAGCGAGTTTTGCTGCCAGGAAATGGGATCATTCTTCAGTACAACAGCAGAAATGCAACTAAAAAATATTACCAAGGTACCTCACTGAAAGCTTGGCTGTTGCTTTAGATTAAGGCAACCTGTGACAAGGCCCACAGAGTTCCGTGGATCATGGTTGCCTATGGAAATCTATGGAAATCTTGCTTCATTTTTAGCAGCTGATCAGCCCCTTCTTAAGGAGTGTTGGAATTAATATTACTTGTGGGCTACCCCTCCATTTTCAAGACAAGCCCCCTGCAGGTGTTTGCTGACGCTTGGAGGTTCCCAGATGAAAATCCTTAGAGAAACTTTTCCGCCTGTGTTTAATTTAAATTGTTTCCTTCTTGGAGATGCTGCACACTTCTCTGAATTGTTTTCTTTTCTGATCCCTCTCTCCCTCTCAGACTGTGACAAGCAGCTGTTTGGTCCCCAAGGGGAAATAGTGAATCCTGTGCAGTTGCCTGATCAAAGGCAAGGGGTGGTGTGTCGGACCTTCATCAACGTGGCTCCGCGGCATCGCGTAGCCATCCGTGCCCTGTCCATTGACCTGGGCAATGACAGCAACCAGACACATTTTAATTACATCCTGGTGAGTCAGAAGCCTGAAGGTGATTATTTGGATGGGGATGGACCCGTCTGCTCATTAGAGATTCCCATCCAGATGGGGAGTTCAGTCACAAATCCTAGAGGGTTTGATGTCTGTTAGTGAAGACAGATTTGAGTGAGCACTGCTGATGTCTGTTCTGACCTTTGTCTAGGGCAGGTTTCCTCCTGAGTAGCCAATTTAGAAGTCCCCAGTGTTTTGTGGGTGCCTCACTTGCAGGCTGCTATGATGGAATGGTTTGTTCTGTCTTGATGCAGGTCCGTGATGTGAGCACCATGAAGACAATGGTGTTCCGTGGGAAGCAGCAGTTCTTCTGGCAGTCAACAGGAAGCCAAGCTGAAATTGAATTTCATGAAAATGTTAAGGATCACCAAACCAGTTTCTGGGCTGAATATCATGCTATTGAACCCGAATAAAAGGGGCCACTGCACTGAGAGGGGCTGTGGTTCAGTTAGTCACTGCTGCCTGTTCACTACTTGAGGTTACACAAGTTGTTTAATCTTTTTATAACTGCTTCCCCATCTGTTGAGTAAGAGCAATAACATCTACTGACTCCTTTGGGATCTCAGTTAATATTTATCAAGGTTATGCAAAAGACATGGAACAACCAAATATTTAGCAAATAGTCCTTCTAGGGATTTTCTGTCTGTGTTGATTGGTATGAATGCAATTTATGTGTCTGCACTTGGTGACTTAGACACTCACAGTCCTACTTTTAGGATAATTTGATTTGTCAGTGGCTGAGTCCCGTTACAAACCTCTGTGCACCACAAGTAGCTACAATTATGTTTTACCCATTAAGTTCACTCTCCTACAGTGTAAATGCCCCTTAAACCTGAGGCCCACTGAAATTCTGCAGTGTTATAGAGAAGGATTAATGAGGATGGATGGCTCACACAAGAAGACTAGAGAAATGTCTGGGGGCAAGACACTACCCAGGAGGGTTGTGCAGCAGGAGGACAAGTCTCTTAGAAAGCTTGAATGTTTTCAGGAGTTGGCAAGACCTGGTCAAAGCCTGGGGACAGTTAGCTTTATATGGAAGGACTAAATGACATCCAGAGGTCCCTCCCTAGCCACCCCTTCTGTGGTTCTACTATTATGTATCAGACAGCAATACCAGTACTTCTTTTATATGGGAAAATAAAAGAGTTCTGTCTCTTCGTGACTGCTTTTCTGCCAAAATGGGTTTACCCAGCTATGAGCAGGATCTGTGCTGTGAGTCTGCTTGTATCTTCTTGCAGGAACTGTGCAGAGATTGAGACTGCATGATACCAGCTGTAGCAGGAAGAGGTATTTCAGTCACAAATATTCACTTGTTTGATTGAAATACATTTTTTAAGGTTGTTTTAATTTCGTATATTCAGCACTTAATGTCTCAAACCATTGGACCATGCTTTGATCCAAATCTTTCATCCTCTTCAAAACGACAGTGCCCTGCTCATAGGGTCTTTTCCATGCCTGGAGCCTGGCTGGACACATGTGCCTTTTCACCCTGGAGACAATAAATGGTTCTGCCTGGGCAGTTTTAACCCTGCTTCTGCTTTCTTTCAGTTGAATTCTTTGACATCTTTTTACACCCACAAAATCTCATTTTCTTCTGTCTTCTCAATGGCTTTTTTTTGCTGGTTAAGCCTGGAGTTTTTTGCTTGCCAGCCTCCAGATTTACGTTCCATTCCTGGAAGAGCTAGAAAGTAGATTCCTGAAGCAAGATCCTTGAGGACCTGGATACATCAGCTGTCCCAGTGCAGTGCGTGGGTGATGCAGGCACTGGGCCTTCATTTCCTGTCTAGCAGGAGATGTTCCTGAAAAGACATCCTTTTCCTAATCCTTTCTGTGTAACCTTTTAGCAGATGGGATCTGTCTTCCCACTCTGCTCTGGATCCCAAGTCTCTTTGCTATTTATTGTTCCAGATCAATACGCAGAGCCCCTGGGCTGCAGAGATGGGCTCTGGTTACTGACTGGATGCTCCATGTTGATTTGCAAAAGAAAAAATGCAACTGTTGCCTTTATAATTGAATTGCTCACCATTTGGGTACCAACAGGCTGCAAAGTCCTAGTCCCATTTTCTAGGGAGAACACCTGATTCCATTCAGATAAAGGGGAGTTATTTCCCTCTTATCCCCAGGGCAGAATTCTGCAACACTGTTAAAATCATTTTAATGCCAACATTCCACGTTTCCTTGTGAGCAGGCAGTGGCTGTCTGGAGAGCAGCATCTTATAGTGACCCTGCTCTCGGGTGTCCCGGTCCCTGCTGTGCAGTCCCATCCCTGTGCTGCTGCTGCTCATGAATATGCACAGATGGCTCTGCCCACCAGCTTTTTAATGCGCAGTGACATCCAAGCCCTGCCTGCTGGAGGAGGGGACCCACAATGCTTTCCTGCAGCCGTGGAGCAGCTCCCAGGGCCGCTGGCATCCCCGCTGCAGGGCCCTGCACTGCCAGCCCTGCATGGGGCTGCAGGGGGGAGAGGCCCAGCAGCTGCAGGGCTGCCTTTAGGGGTTGTGTCCTGAGCTGGCTGGAGAAGCAGGTGTCACCTGGGGGGCTGGGGGGTCAGAACCCCCCGCAGCAGGGCTGCCCTGAGCCC